TCCTTTTTGTGGTTCACGCTTATTTATTTATTTTTAATTTAATAAAGCAAATAGGCATTTCGTCCTTGTTGTAGTCATTAATAATCTGCAAAAAGATTAACTTTTGGTCTTATTTTCTTCAAGAACTAAGATAAAATCATCACCAATGTTCTACGCATGTCTAAGGTGCTTCTCATTTCAGTTGTTGTGCTGCTTGATATTTGATTTTATTTCGCTCATCTCTTGCATTTCATTCGATAAACTCGTGGTCTTTAAAGACGAAAGGACAACGGTAATCTGTGTTGTATTCTGTTTTCCCGCAATATTCCTAAATGGCTTCAGCATTCTGGTAATGATTCTTAAGTATGCAGTGCGAAACTGACGGATTCTTGAACTGTAGACGATGAAATTCATGGACGAGTTAGCTAAGAAAAGTGTACGAATCCATAGATGTGTGAGATCAAACGAACAATGCGCAGAGGTATCGGGATGTGATATTCTATATCCAGCATGCGGGAACCAGGTGACGGCAAATAAAAAAATAACAATCGCGACAGTTCCAGAAACCCTTTTTTCCATTGCTCTCTCGCGCGCCGTCGAAGATCTTGCTCCGATTTTTGGCTGGACCTTAGGGAATTTGATTCTATAGATAATAATTGCGTATGAACCGATCATGATGAGAAAATCTATTGTAACGTATACGGCAATGAGAATGCTTAATGTAAGAGCAGCAATTTTTTCCGCTTTAGTGAATTTTACACTGAAATTTACGATTACTGCAAAGGTGATTGATCCCCAACAGACAGATAACATCACTTTGTACCAATGCTTCAGAATGTTGTGRTGTTYAWGGGGCTTAACCGTTGCCAGCGCTCTGTCGATGCTTATAACTGCCAAATGGTTTATAGAACAACCGGCGGAAAAGGTCGACGACATCATGTAGGCCATATCGACTCCACGGGCACATGGATTGCCTCTGGTTTTCAGAAAAACCTGTGATGCAAGCAGTGGCTGTGCAACTGTAGTCACTAACAGATCAGTTACTGCTAAGCTGAGGAGAAGAAAATTGGATGGTCTTTGTCGGAGCTGAGGTGTTGTTAAAATAGCAAAGATTATAAGGAAGTTTCCAAATGTCCCAGTAATGGAAAGAAGAAAATTAATAGCAACGATTGTCGCTCCATGAGAAAGGGGAAGGCCAAACTGGTCACTTGACAATGAAGTCGTTTTTGTAACATTCATTTCCAGAGTGTCGTTAAAAAGAAGCATATTTCTTCTCTGTGTCGATGAAGACGTGGGAATACTATGAAACTGTGAATACCATGTGTTCAGAGGTTTTGATGTATCTTTAGGTAGTTATTTTTTGTAAACTAAATATGTTTTCCTTGTAATTATACATTTATGCCTCGAAAGGTGAACATTCTTATAACATGTAAGAGTTGTCTTACCTGGTATTAAGTTTTAGTCGTTTTCTGAATTAAACTCTCAAAAGTATCACGCTTCATAAATGATTCAAAACACGTTTTGCTATCTTCGATTTGAACCGATATGTTATTGAACAGGAACTTCCCTTTAATTTTTGGCTCTTTTTTTGTTCTTTGACGATTCACTTTTAGTTTCCTATTGCCAGCTGAAGGTAAACATAACGAAATGAACAACAATAGTTTCTTCCCGAATCGCTGTCGATTTTAATTTCGAGTTTCATTCTTGCAGTCTATATTTATCCATGGTATTGGGTCCAAGGGATGTATATAGCTGATTACTTCCTTGTTGTGGTAATTAACTACTCGACGGTAGCTTGTAAAATAAAAGAAAAACGCTTTCTTTTGCTGCACAGTCATAGAGCACCTCACTTTAAATTTTGGCAAATAATATAATTGTTTAACATTTGATGGTAATAGTCGTCTTTTTGTTT